ACATTATAAATGATGAACAATATTATTGTCAAAGTAAAAATTTAGAGCAATTTGTAGACATTAAGGTAGGTGATGGTTTTTCTTTAAAAGCGAGTAAAATAGGTAATATTTGTATGTTATTTAATGTCAATGGTAAATGGCATAGAACTATGATTAATAATGTTTATTATGTACCAAGTATGAAACAAAACTTGCTTAGTGTATCATGCATCACTTCTCATAATAATATGATAGTTTTTAACAATGGTAGTGCTGAAATTTATGAAAATAGAAATAAGTTAATTGCTGTAGCATTAAAGAAAAATAAATTGTTTGAATTGTCAGGAAAAGTAAATTTAAATAAATATGTTTCTGAATCATACACAAGCACTAGTAATATGACAAATAAAGAATTGTGGCATAGAATTCTCGGTCATACCAACTTTAATAGTTTAAAAGAATTAAGTAAGCTTCAGTTGTTAGATGGTTTTCCTACTAATATTGAAAATGATTATATAACATGTGAAATATGTTTGGAAAATAAGATGTGTAATTTACCATTTGAAAATAACAGATATCGAGCAAAAGATTTGTTGGAAATCATACATTCGGATGTCCATGGTCCAGTGAACCCAACTGGTTATAAAGGTGAGAGATATTTTGTCACTTTTATTGATGATTTCAGTAGAATTGCAATAGTATATTGTATTAAAAACAAAAGTGAAGTTTATGATTGTTTTTTAAAGTATATAAAATTAGTACAGAATCAAACTGGAAAGCGAATAAAGGAAATAAGATGTGATAATGGACGTGAATATATTAATAATGATTTTTACAGACTAGCTAAAGATGAAGGAATTTATTTAAAACCAGCCCCTCCATATACACATGAATTAAATGGTGTTGCTGAGAGGTATAATAGAACAATATTAAATCGTGCTAGGTGTTTACTTGCTGAGGCAAAAATAGATAAGAAATATTGGCCTGAGTGCATACTTACATCTGCTTATTTAGGAAATAGACTTTTAACTAATACAATAAGTAAGAAAACTCCATATGAAATATTTTTTGGAAGGAAACCTAATGTGTCAAATTTAAAAATTTATGGTAGCGTTGCATATGTTAGAATTCCTGAAGAACGAAGAAGTTCAAAGTTGAATCCAAAGGCTGTAAAAGGTATTCTTATAGGTTTTACTGATACAGGATATAAGATACTAGTGGAAAATAAAATTATAATAAGTAGACATGTAACATTTTTAGAAAAGGATAAAAAATGTATAAAGATGATTAATGAAGATGAAGAAGAGGAAATTGAGGTCTTAAATGAACAAAATAGAGAACAACTACAAATTAATCAAGAAAAGGAAAGAAGTGAGAATGAAAAAGTTAAGGAGGTGAGTGATAGAAGATATCCTCAAAGAAATAGAAGGATGCCAACAAAATATGATGATTATGTTGTATATGTAAATTTTTCAAATGCACTTGTGCCGGAGAGCTATCAAGAAGCTATGAATAGCTTAGAATCAAAAAAAATGGAAAAAGGCAATGAATGATGAGATTAATAGTTTGATTGAAAATAAAACATGGGATATTGTTGATGAACCTGAGGATAAAAAGATAATAGAAGTAAAGTGGATTTATAGAATCAAGTCAAATGGGAGTGAAAATAATACATAATGTTATATGTAGACGATATATTAATACTGGGTCAAAATATTTCTGATATTGAAAATGTAAAACAAATGTTGAATAAACGTTTCCATATGAAAGACTTAGGAAGATTGAAGCATTACTTAGGAATAGATATTGAATATAATCCTGAAGAAAATAAGTTGTGTTTAAATCAGGAGAATTATATTAAGAGTTTAGCTGAAAAATATAATGTAACAGATTGCAAAAAATATGAGACACCAATGGAAATTAATCTTAAATTAGAATATGCTGAAATAAGTAATGAAAACTTAAAATATAGAAATTTAATAGGAGCATTGTTGTATATTGCAAATGGTACTCGACCAGATATATCTTTTGCAACCAATTATTTAAGTCGCTTTCAGAGAGCTTATAATGAGACTCACTATAAGTATGCTTTGCGTGTGTTAAAATATTTGTATTATACTCGGTCTTTAAAGCTGCACTATAATTCTAGTTATAATGATGTTATGGATATTTATGTAGATGCTGATTGGGCAGCTGATGTTTCAGATAGAAAGTCAACTACTGGATTTTTAATAAGAATATTTGGGAATGTTGTGTTATGGAAGTGCCAAAAAAAACAGAAAATTGTTACTAGAGCTTCTACACATGCAGAATACTATGCTCTTGCTGATTGTGTGTTGAGGAGGTACTGCCTATTAAAGGAGTCTTAAAAGACATAGGTATTATTGTTGATAAGCCTGTTAATATTTATGAGGATAATACTGGTGCTATTTCATTGGCAAAAAGTGGTAAATTTTGTAAAAATTCTAAGCATATTGATATAAGCTATCATTTTGTATATGATTTTGAAAAGAAGGGTTTAATAAATGTACAAAAGATTTCAACTGATGATCAAATAGCAGACATTTTAACAAAGTCTTTAAGTAAAATTAAATTTCTAAAGTTTAGATATTTGCTAGGTGTTTATGAGTGATTGTGTTTAAAGTAAAATATTGTCAAAGGTTAAGTTTTAGGTTGTTTATGTTTATTGCAAGGTTGGTTAAGGTTGTTTATTGTTAAAGTTTAATTTAGAGGCACAAAATCAAGGAGGTGTGTTGAGAATATGATTTTGTACCTTGTAACATTGCTATTGTTTTAGTTGCTCTGTGACTGCATAGACAAAACTCTCTACTCTGTGTAATTGGTCAAGATGGTGTAGTTGTGATTTAAAGATGATTAAGTTGATTATTGTAATTAAGTAGTATCATGTGAAACCTAGTATAAAGTGTTAAATGATGTAAGTTAAACAGAATAAACCAATCATGAAAGCAGAGCTGCATATTTATTTTGATCCACGGAAACACATTTTCTAACAGTAATAAATACCATCGTACAACACTAATAGTCTCAGAAAGTACCACGACCTCACGAAAGACCGGCGTGAATCCGCAGCCTGGCGTATGTATGTAGAACTAATGTATACTACCCGGATACCATCTGGATCGTATACATTATGTACTAGTCGGACTACGCCAGGCTGTGGTGAAAACGAAACATCGATAGATTGTCGGTTTCGGCGAGATTGGATAGCACTTAGTCAACTTCCGCCGCGATTGCTACGGTGCCAGAATGATTACTAGTGTTGGTCATTTAGGAATTACGCCGATAATGTATGTTGACGCGCTAAGCGCCTGACAAAATTATACCATACGCAGTTGCTGTTCTTATGTATTTGCTTGTATGCTTTATTATGTACAACCACCGTCAATTTTATTTTTTGTTAGTTAGCTTTTGGTCATTACACGGATATAATATCTGAGAACAAGAAGTTTTAATTTCTCCTTAATTTCAAAAGTATTCATGGTCAGCTTCGAGCCCGATTTAGCGGCTACTTATTATTTACTTCGGGAAATATCATAAATAATATATATTAAATAATATATACGAAATATACTAAATAATATATACGAAATTGAAGATTTTTCAAAGATATACTGCAAACGTCCGGGGTCACCTTGAAGACAAAGACAAAGGACATATAAGGAAGAAGAATAAAAATCAGTGCAGTGTTTTCTTTAGTATTTCGTTTTTATTTAGTAATAACTTTTTAACAATTGTTTTAATTTTCAGATATTATTCTTTCATTTTATCCTGTATTCCAAAATGACCGAAGAGAGGGAATTAATTAAAAAAACGGGCAAGTTTCAAAGGACGGTTAACGGCTTTCAATAATTATCTCAATGAATTAAAGGGTTTATTAAGCACATCTCAGGTTAGCGAATTGCAATTGCGCGTAAGTAAAATTGAATTATTATACGAACAATACGATGAGGTTCAATTAAAGTTAGAATGTCTGGTAGACGACATTAATAGTCAATTAAATGAACGCAATGATTTTGAATCATTATATTATAAAATTCTCGCGAAAGCTCGAGATCTTATTCGCCAAAATATTAACTCCAATACTGAGTGCGCTAGTGAAAAGGAGTTTTCATGTAACAATAATAATAGTCTTGTTAAGTTGCCTACCATACAGCTGCCTAAATTTAGCGGGTCGTATAACAATTGGTTAGAATTTCATGACACCTTTTCTAGCCTAATACATTCAAATAGCGCTATTGATGACATCAATAAGTTTCATTATCTTCGCGCGTCGCTCGAAGGGACAGCCGCCGTGGTTATCCAATCCATAGAATTTTCAGCGAGTAATTATGCTGTGGCTTGGAATTTATTATGTGGTCGTTTTAATAATAAACGTCTTTTAATTCAAAATCACGTTACGGCATTATTTAACATTGAGGTCATTACAAAAGAATCGTCATTTATTCTAAAGCGCATGATTGACTCTTTAAATAAAAATCTAAGGGCACTCGAGTCGTTAGGTGAGCCTATAAATTATTGGGACACTTTATTAATTTTTATAATTACGCAAAAATTAGATAGCAAAACTTACCGTGAGTGGGAAGAATATAAAGGTCGCTTAGATAATAACAAAACCATTTCCTTTACGTCATTTTTAATATTTTTACAAAATCGCGCCGACCTATTAGAAACACTGGAACTTTCTCGAAATTCCCAAATTAATCAAAATAAAAATAATACTAAAATTAAAAAGCATGGTGTCAGTCACTGACAATCAGACACGGTTAAGCGGGAATAGCGAGGCGTCTCAGTCCAAATCTTGTCCAAATTGCAAGGGTGATCACAGTCTGAACAATTGTGCAAAGTTTTTAGGGCTTACCTGTGAACAACGGTTCGAATTAATGTCACAATTTAAGGTCTGTCATAATTGTTTACGTTCCGGTCATTATGCGAACCGTTGCAAGTCGATTGGCTGTAAAATATGTAAAAGAAAGCACAACACTTTGATTCACATTTCAGACATGAAGCCGAGGACAACTTCCAATCTTCCTTCCCACTCAGAGGACCGTCCCGTCTCCCTCCCTGGTACGTCATGCGACTATAACGGTAAAAATAATGTAACATTATCGGCGCAAGCTTCTACTTATCTAGAAAATAAATCTCAGGTACTTTTATCTACTGCCCTTTTAAAGCTTTACGATAAAAACAATAAGGAATACTTAGCTCGGGCCATTCTTGACAGTGGAAGCACTTCTTTTTTAATCACAGAAAGATTAAGTAAATTATTAAATTTAACTACAGTCAACGTCAACGAGTCTTTATTAGGAATTAATAATTCTAAGTCACACATAGGCAAAATGTGCTGCGTACCTATAAAATCGTTGAACGAAAACTTCATTACTAATCTATTCTGTTTTATTATACCCCATATAACTGACGAAGTACCTAGTCAGCAAATTAATTTAAACAATTTTAATTTACCAAGTAACCTATGTTTAGCTGATCCCTACTTCCACACACCATCTTCGGTGGATTTAATTATTGGTGCGGATGTTTGTTTTGGGACCTACTAGGTGTACGTAAAATTAATTTAGGAAATGGAATGCCGGTACTTTTTGAATCTAGATTAGGATGGCTAGTTTCTGGCCCTTTAAGTAAAAGCGGTCTTGTACCTCATTCGATTTCCAATAAGACGTTTTTTACAAATGTAAATTTTAATGACAATGTCTCTTTGCACATTAATAGTTATGATGATATTCAAAACCTATTAATGCGTTTTTGGCACCTTGAGGAGGTTCGCCATCAATCATCAGTTTTCTCAGAGGAAGAGAAAATGTGTGAAGAGCATTTTATCAAAAATGCAATGCGTCTAACAGATGACCGTTTCTGTGTTAAAATACCATTGAAACCGTCGTGTGACATTTTAGGCAATTCGCTGCAACGCGCTAAGCATCTTTTGCTTAAACGACGATTTAAGGTTCAACCCCAATTTAAAAATAGCTATACTCAATTTATGCCTCAGATCATATCTAATTATTATAATTCATCACTCGACTTAAATATAGGTTCTATGGAACCCATTAATACATTATGTCTTAGTTGGCTTATCGAGTCTGATGAACTATTTATTTTTTATTTTTATTTCAGTAAAATTGTTTTAAATAATCTAACAAAACGTGGAATACTTTCTGTTATTTCACAAAAGTTTGATCCTCAAGGTCTTCTTAAATGCACAATTGCTATGAAAATATTAATACAAGGGTTATGGTTACTTAAACTTACATGGGACGACCAGTTGCCCTCTGAAATAAATAAACCGTGGCCACGAATTGTAGAAAGTTTATCGCTTATCAATAACGTACGCATTCCACGTCATGTTGTTTGTAATCAACATATTTATACAAACTTACATATATTTAGAGACGCGTCCAAAGTAGCATACGGTGTATGTTTGTATATCCGTAGCGCGAGTAATAATAATAATGTGTTAGTGCGTTTACTTTCAGCTAAAAGTCGTGTGGCCCCCATAAAGTCGACCACAATACCGCGCCTCGAGCTCTGCGCTGCTCTTGTCAGAGTTCATCTTTATGAGATAATATTGAGTTCACTTAGAGTTCAAGTAAGATCAATTACTTTCTGGTCAGACTCCACAATCCTTATAGGCTGGATAAAAATTATACCTATCAAATTACAACCGTTTGTTTGCAACCGTGTGGCTGAAATTTTAGAGCAAACTAATTCATGTAATTGGAGGCATGTTCTCCCTGATCAAAACTTGGCCGATTGTTTTTCTCGTGGTGCGAATATTAGTCAAATTAAAGTTCTTTATTCATGGTGGTCTGGACCACAATTTAAAATGCGACATTTGTTGGCCTAGTAAACGTGTTAAGTGATAAATTACCGGAAACTCTCGAAGTTTCTTTAACTGGCACTAACATAGAAATTGACTTTGAGCATTACTCAAATTTTAATAGATTACATCGTTATATGGCTTTACCATTTGTAAAAGATAGCTACCCCAATCTCAATTTCTAAGTAGTTGTATCACTAGTTTCGGGAAAGATTAAAGTAATACAAAATTTGCTGAATAATTATAAAAAAAAATTGATAATTAAATAAAATTGTCACAAATGGAGTCACTCAACCAATATCTTAGTGCATAATAAAAAGTTATTGTAATCTTTTCAAATTTAACAAAAATAAAATAACGCGGATCGGCAATTGCTTAGGAGATGCATTACTTTGCTATGAAAAGAATCATTTGATTATTTTACAGTCCACTCATCGTTTCACAAAGTTATTTTTTAAACATATGCATATCCAACTTATGCACGCCGGTCCCCATTTACTACGACCTTTAATAAGAGACATGAATTGGCCGATTGGAGGCCTCAACTAAGCTAAACATTACTATCAACAATGCTGTTTATGCTGTCGTTATAAGGCAGAGGTTATTAACCCTCTAATGGGCAATCTGCCTCAGACCAGATTTACTCCCGGTGGCTATCCTTTCGAGTGCGTTGGCGTGGACTACGCTCGTCCTATAATGTGCGCTGGTCTTCTGAATCGCGATTGTAGGCTAACCGAGGTGTATATTCTTATTTTCGTTTGTTTTACGACCAAAGCTGTACACATCGAGTTGACAGGCAGCCTTTCAAGCGATTATTATTATTATTTTTAATTAATTATTTATCAGCACTTCGTCGATTCATGTCGCGTCGGTGGAAACCTAAGAATTATATATTCAGACAATGGAACCTCATTTGTGGGCGCGTATAATTAAAGGCAATTGCGATTTACAATCTGGGAATGTGGCTATATATCTAAACATATATTAAATAAACTTCCATTTTTATTCCTCCGCATGCTCCTCAATTTGGTCGTCTTTGGAAGGCAGGTGTCAAGCCTATATATTAAATTTCATTTACGTAGTCTTAGGCAATAGTAATTTTTGTATGAAAAATTAAACACTATGCTGATTCTGATTAAAGCCGTACTGAACTCTCGTCCGCTCACGGCCCTATTCATGGATCCAGATGACTTACTTCCGTTGACCCCAGGACATTTTATCACTGGACGTCCGATGACTTCACTTCCTTCTCAAAATTATAAGGACCACTCTGTTGAATTGCTATCAGCGCATCGGAGCAAAATTTCGTCAACACTTTGGAGAAGATGGAGCAAGGAATATCTCGAAGCTCCAACAAAGAACGAAATGGCATTCAAATATTAAATCTTTACAGGAAGGAGCTCTTGTTCTCATAAAAGATGATAACTTGCCACCACTTAAATGGCGTCTAGGTCGAATAACAGCTTGTCATCCAGGAACAGATGGAATCAACCGTGTTGCTGACGTCCGAACTGCAAATGGAGTTATTCGAAGACCTCTGCACAAAATCTACCATCATCGAATCATCATCAATACCAATGATCGAAGGCTGTTGAAAGACGTGCTTTCAACGCCCGGGGGCATGTTGACGCGCTAAGCGCCTGACAAAATTATACCATACGCAGTTGCTGTTCTTATGTATTTGCTTGTATGCTTTATTATGTACAACCACCGTCAATTTTATTTTTTGTTAGTTAGCTTTTGGTCACACACGGATATAATATCTGAGAACAAGAAGTTTTAATTTTTCCTTAATTTCAAAAGTATTCAACGGTATTTAATTACGCGACATTTGCAGACGGCGGCGACACCGGCACCATCCGTTGGCAACTCACGGAACGGCAAACAGCGAAGAACACGGGTTGCGACGACACCGCTTTGGCACTAATACGTGTTACTAGCGGTTCCATATCATGGATTTCGATTTCGTCGTGTATTCGGCTTCACGGGCCTTGAGCATACTTAGGTGTTGAACTATACCCACGATTAATTTCACAGGACTCGTGGATTCCTGGAATTTGAAATCACAAATCCTTCATCACTCTCCGGCCCACATACAGTTTGGAACCAGAAATCATGTCGACTCGTTTCTACATTGCTGCGTTGAAGAATGACAAAACAACACGCCTCCTTAAACTTGTGATAGAGTCATACAAAAGATTCAGATGGTTGTCTCATTGTTTTAGTGGGCCGTCCAGTCTAAGGAGGCGCCAAGTAAGCAATGCAACTGTCATCATAATGGATGTCATCGTGATAAAGTATATCCTTCATTTCAGCCTTAAAAAATCCACCACTGAACAGATACGTCTTCCAAAGTTAGGTTTTACTAAAAATCCCGAAAAATACTTCAAATTCCCAACTGGCGTGACAGTTTTCAGCTTTTACTAGCTTGGGGTCGAAACACAAACAAGGTGTTGTAAATGTATAGAATAAACTTGAGAAATAACTGCAAAGTCCGATTTATAACCATTATTCAAAGGTCACAACCGTCGTGCACAACCAATACGTTATATGTAAAGATCACAGAATTCCGAATGTAAGGTGTTCGCTAATCCAGAAAGAGAACAGAAGAAGTAGAGAATAACTAGGTACGTGTTGAGCAAACGGTATGAGTACTGACTATTATCACAACATAGGCACCATATAGGCATTGCATGCTTAAAGTTAGAAATGCATAATTATCATTATCATCAATAGCCGAAATACGTCCACTGAATTGACATAATAAGAAAAATTTTATGGACCGAACATTCATCTGAATTCAAAAGAAAAAAATATCATGCTCTGCAGTACAATTGTCTTCAGGACACTGACAAGAATATTGCTATTGAATTTAGTAGATTTTTCCATCCGCTTTCCATTTTGGAATTATTTAATCCTTCTCGATTTTACCCTTTCGTTGTTGTCTTTCCACACACTCGAACCAACCGCTTCGCCTTGTCATTATGGGTCTGGCAAGTGAATAAGATATTACTAAGCTAGTAATACCATCTTCGACTGCATCGCTATTTAACATTGGGTGACAGAGCAGTCCAGCACTGGGCAATCCACAATAAAAGAAACCAAAATAACAAAACATATAATTGTGGTTTCTTGTCGGTGCTTCACATAAATGATATAAACTAGCCAGTGGATATCCACATTATATAAGAACAAGCCGCGAGATAAAATTATTCACGAGATTTTATAGTGTCATTAGAATTCTATGGTTTGTTGCTCGAAATTCCTAAATAGCAGTTTTAAATGATCAGTCAGTTTTGTTCCCATTTACAATTTGCGGCTTTTTAAACAAGAGTTAGCGGGTAAGGCGACAACAGATGTTAGGAAACAAGAAGCGCCAGTGAGGCGAAACTCGCAAAGCAAGACCGCGCAAAGCTCAACTGAGTATCGCAACTCGATCCAAAAAGCGGAAATTCATCCGTTCGAAACGCAGCGGCGACAGCAAAAACCGTACGTAATTAAGTGGCAACGGCAAGAAGCTAGATATCGCCAGATTGTGTTACCGCTTTCCGTTTCGTGCCAAATTTGACAATTGCACGCCCTGTGCCGCATGCGAAAAGGTTTTCTTTAATGTCACTGTTAAATTGCCACACAAATCCTGTTAGACCAAAGTTATTAGTAGCTGATTTTTCGTTGAAATATGCAAGTTCAGTCATGAAGGTGAAAATCTCACCAAATCGCTGTGACAATGTTGTTTCGAGTGTGAAGATGGATCTATCAAATACTTTAACTGTCTAAAAGTATATAAAAACGAACTATAAAACAAAGTATTATAAAAATAACTCTCATACATTATAATTTCACAACGAGCATAAAATACAGTTGGAGAGAGGGATGACCTTTTCATATAGACATTACTGATATAACGAAAATAGGTCACGGTAAGAGGAGCGCCTAGTGTGAGTAGACGATAATGAGGTAAGATGTAAATACGTGCCCTTTCATTATTTAAAACATTATATCAGAACCTCCTTTATTTGTATGCTACACGAGATCTTGATATATATTTGCTAAAATTACATGTACTGATATTTAAAGTAATTCTTAGAGTTGTGTCTGCCAGAAACTTGTCTGCCAGATAATTGTTGAAACTGCCAGACTTGCGATCTGTAGTCGCAAGTACAAATACCAATGCCCCAAATTTATCGAGTGCAAAAACTGCATCTGAAAATAACATATGTGCTAACTAGTGATATTTTTTTATCGTAAGCGGTTTTTGTTTTTCCAATAATATTATAGAAGTGCTTAGCTGAAATGAGCGATGAATTTTAGATTTTCATAGTGAAATATAAAGTTTAACAACGCATTTTTCTCATTAGTGAAAGTGCTTTTCAGAAGCTTCTTAAGTTTCAAACTTGATAACATAAAGCCTCTTGCCGTAAAAGAGGAACCAATTTTTGTGCCATTTTGCTCATTTTCAGAACAATATACAGACACCTACATTTTCGAAGCCTTTTACTTATAACAGACAAATATATAAATATAACGGCATGTAGAATTCAGATCTCATAGAAGAGCAGTAACTTAGTCACCTTTATTGGAAACATACATGAAATATTTTTGTTACATTTGTATTGAACATAACACATTTTTTTACAAATCTACTAGTACATTTTATTAGATTTAACTATTTGTACTCTTTAATAACGTTCATGATTAATAAATAACTAATAATAGTTAGTTGTTAACAACACAGTTTATTTATTAACCTGGAAAAACTGTGATAATATATCATTAAAAATGACAGTTTTTCGAGATTATCAACAAATTTTAACTTATTATTTTTTGCTCCTTGTAAATAGACAAAAAACCTTTATGTATTTGATTCATCAATAAATATTACAATACCGGTTTATTAAGTCTGGATTTAACTTAATTGAATACTTAAACAATGTTTTGTTAGTTTAACTAAACAATTTGCTTAATTGTCCGATGATATTTCTAACAGAGATCTTAAAAGACAGTGTAATTTATAAACGAATGCAGGCCGACTTCGAGACAATGCTAAAGTAGTACAAAATCGAGAACAATAACTTTATCTTCAATTAGTACGGTTTGGCACTCGTCATTTAGCAATTAACTCTTCGTTACAGAATCTGGATACATTAAGTTTCTTGGCAAGGTTTAACTTAATTAAAGTCGCTTTTTGCAGACTCCCGGTAAAACTTAGTCGATTGCGGCGTTAATATGTTAATGCTTGCTTTCCTCGATTTTTATTGCAACAATTAAAGTTTAAAGTATATACTACGACTTTCTTCCTAAGCAATTATCAGATCATCCGTTCATACAAAAAAATCACACTTCAGAATTCAGAGAACCGTTTTTACTTTCGACCGAATTGAATTAAAAAAAAAAACATATTCGACTTTTATGTCTATTACTTATTAATACTTCT